CCCACGACGAGATCTCAATTCAACTTCTTTTATTTCCTCCACAACACAATTTTCCTTATGTACAACTAGCTCATTACCTTCTCTTGTCGTCACCTCGCTGCCATAAAAACACACTAACACAAAACTTGACCCGACGCACAGCATTGTACATGTACCGCGTCACAATATACACAATTAGATGAAAAAACACAACACGCAATACAAAGACAAGCACATTAACCGTCACCCTGCTAAACAAAATTGAAATAATAAAAAGAATTGTTACAGAACTTTATCACATTAGTTCCAAAAGAAGCCTCAGTTCCTTTTGGTTTCAATTGTTGACAATCGTCTCTTCCTTTATCGGAACAGATGTTTATCACAGGCAACTCGTTATGTTCCGCAATGCAAAAATCAAAATCACTATTGTCACACTGATAACCAGCTACGCAAATCTTATAACGTAATTGAACAATATATTAACACTTTCCTCGAAACGCCGCGGCCAAATGTTACCCAAACTGCTTCTTACTGCTTCTTCGAAAAATTTCGGATCGAACGATATTCAAATCTTCCCTCATTAGATTATCTACTCGACCTAATAGAATCGACCAATCACAAAATAAGGACAAGAAAATGGACATAAAATAAAGAAAACAGCAAATTCAGATGACTTCTTAGAAAACGTGCAATTAAAACTGTCTTTCTATGATTGGTGCATTTCGATCCTCTCGTCAAAAAAATGTCAGGCGCCAATCACCTTAGCGGACCTCTTAGGAAAGGACAGTTTACTTCAACAGGTTCAGAAGGTCATTGTTTGTGATTTGTGATTGGTGGATTTCGATCCGTTTTGTGAGTTTCTGTGTTTCAAGGTTTGTTGCTTGTGATCTTATTGTGACCAAAACCCGACGTTAATATTCCAAATATTTTTCATAGATTTCATCCCTGGACTTCAGACATCCAGATTTCGATGAGGTAAAAATACTGAAGATTCAGATTAACTTTTGAGATCGTAAAAGTGCAATAAAGTGCCGTTCTAGCAGAGCTTTCTTTCCCACATGCCTGTTACCTTGTACAAGACTTTCGCACGGCAGACATTCGCCTCGCTTCAGTTGTTTACTTGCCTTGTTTACGTTAGCACGTATTGCGTGCCTATTGTACATTTGCGTCAAAACAAGCTGTTTCCATTACTCTATTTGGGCCACGCCCAAATAACAAGGCAATTTTTGATTCCCAAGAAAAATATGAAAGGAATGCTCTCCCGAATTTAAGACGCTGGCTGACTACGTCATCCCGCGTAATACATCAAGTAGATTTCTTGTGCACTTAGTGTATTTTCTTGGCATCAAAATTTGTAACCGATGATTGATACCACAACTATAATGCACCTATCAATCGAATGCCGGCGGGGGGGGGGGGGGGGGGGGGG